CTGTTAGTGGCACTGAGGCTGTTTAGCTGCCTGTGCCCTGTTAGGGTGCCTGTGGCTAAACTGATCACAACCTGTATTTTCTCCTGTGCTGGACTGACAGGGACCCCTGGGATTTAAACACATTCCTCTGTTATGAAGAATATGTCTTGCTTCCAAGAATTGTTTGGCAATTTCATCAAGAAAATCTGTCACTGTTTGGGGTTTTCAGAGCAGAGCCACCACCCTCTGTGKCTCCAGCTCTTCCTCTGTTGTCCTGGTATTTTTCCATAGTAGGATTGCAGGATGTTGAAAAGTAGCACTGCTTAATTTCATGAAGGAGTTAAGAGACAGAAGGGGGAAAGCCACAGAAACAAACACTAAAAACTATGACCTGATGGAGAAAAATTAAAAATGAAAGGAAAGTGTACATTTTATTTGTAAGGGAGGATGTGGGCAGGGACACCCTGAGGTATCTGGAGGATGAGTCCTCTTAGTAAGAAATTTGCACACTGGATGATCAAACGTAAGACCTCAAAGATGGGAAATGGAATGAAGCTTGGGTGAATCTTATGTTTGTTTGCTGTTTCTGTCTAACTTGAATTCCCCCTTCTGTGACTCTCACTCAGTTACAGTAGTTAAAACTATGGAATTGTTAGGTAGGTAGATTGCATTTTCTCTATTACTGGTAGTTCTAAAGAAAATATTAAGGGAGAGATTTATCAGGTAGAGGTGAATTTGGATTTTCTCAGCATCCYAAGTATCTTTTAGTGTCTTTTGCASATAGCTGCAGTTGCCATGAAATAGTATTTCATTCCTTTAAGCTGTGAAAGTATTTGTAAATAATTTTATAAATAAAAGCATTGATTTACAAATAATAGAGTTTTGTTTTAATTCTGATTTCTCTATTTCTGGATGATCTTTTTATAATATGCAGGACCAAAGGACTTTCAGAACAGTCCTGCAATTGTGTTAATAGGGAATATGYTTCACTAAGCAGTAAAACCTGAAGAGCTTCTATCTAGCTTGTTTTTATATGCTTGTAAGGAAACAAGAGCATACAGTTGYCCTATAACATTGTTATGGGCCAATTCCAATGACGTATAGACTTCTCTTTTTTAAACTATCAGCTTAGCTTTTGAAAAATTAAAACTTTTCTGTTTTCTGTTTATACGGACACAAGATTCAAATTAACCAGTTTCCTTCCCTTTCATTTAATCGAAAGTTCACGGCACTTACTCTAGTTCCTTTCAATGCTCTGGYACAAATACTTCTTTATGCCGAAGGAACATCTAAAGTGCTGGAATCATGAGCCTTCTAGTCCTTTAAACAACAGAAAATCGTTTTCAAACTTGCTTCCACTTTGGAAGAGCTGGAATTCCTGATACTGCAAAAGAAAATGCCCAAACTTGCCTACAGACAGCTGAAGCATCTCATGTGCTTGGTGTAACCCTGTGCAGAATTGCTGCCTCACAAGGGATGGCTTGTCAAAGTTGCATGTGTTTCTGAGCTGTTCCATGACTCCAATCAAAGAAATCCGTAAGTGTTAGGAAATTACAGAAATCTCAATTACAGAAATTTTACTTTGGACTAATTCAGCGCATAGAACTAATATGTATTTCATTAGACTGACATGTAGAAGGTAAAACACCTTAAAAAACTAATTTGATAAAGYAGATTGTGTCCATTTGCAGTTCAGATTGGCAATAAAGGTTTTAAGAAATGATTGCTTGCTGTTTGTGTAGTGTGAGGCTATGGGGTTTAGTGTAACTCTTAACTTTTGGGCTCRAGCCCCCAGAACAAAAAGGCTGTGGCTGTGAGATCTGTAGAGCTAAATTTGTGTCAGAGCTATTTCTGCTCTGTTGCAGGAACTTTAATGCTATATCAAGTCCATCTTAGTTCATGCTTGACTTTATACAGGAGCAGAGATGTCATGTCATTTGTTCTTCCACAGCCAATAAAAACTGTATCTTTCTGGTGACCTTCCCCTCTGTCCTGGCTCCCTTCACAGACGGGCAGTTGTGTGTCAGTGCTTGGATTGATCTTGTATTACTGGGTTATCTAAGAGCTAGAAGACACTGAATTTATGAATCTGTGTTGAACAGGTTATGAACTTGTCTCTCATGCGCATTTCTTTGTTGTGGTAGTCTGTATTACAAATGGGATTTGGAGTCTCAGATATATTTAACTGCTTTGTGCTGTGAAGTTTTGGTGATTTGAATTACTTTGTGACACAGTTAAGCTTGAAGAACCCTCCCTGTAGTTTTCTTTATTGGCAGAACAATGAATATGTGAATACAGGAGTAGATTAATTTATTTAATGTTACCTCTATGTTCTTTCATTCCTTTGTGACTGTCATAGTTAGATTCATAAGGGCAATAATACTGGCCCTTCAAAAAAGCCACACAAAAAAATACCCACCAAAAAAAAATCAAAGAAACCACCWACCAAAAACAGGGAACTGAAAGATCTTTCAGCATATTGTAGTGGAAGAAATGGATCACTATAATTTCACTGTGTGTTGCTCACTGTTTCATCAGGCTTCCACCTGGAGTATCTAAGCTAGAGTTCTTTGTTTAGTGTTTGTTTTGGCTTGACTCAGTCTTGGACTGGAGTCTTACAYAGAGTTCTAACAAAAGTAATCCTTGTCTCGTAGCTGGATGTATAGGCTTAGATCTATAGTTTAGTCTCAATGAATACACTGCCATAAGCCTTGATTTTAAAAACACACATGTAGTGGAATTCGACAGTGGTTTTCATTGTGGGAGTAAAACATGCTGTTTTCTTACAGGAATTGCAGTTACTTGTATAGTCTTGTTTGTACATTTTAAAATAATGATAATTAATGGGAGATGATGTTTCTGTTCCTAATGAGGCAAGAATTCATATCTACTGTTTGGGGATGAGGGAATCAGTAAAAATCTGRAAAGCTGCAGTCAAAACAGTGAAGCCAGAAGCAAACAGATTAAAGGCCTTTTGACTTGTGTTGGCACTTCTCCTTTTTGAGAATGTTTTTAAACTAACAGCTTGAGCTGCATAAACTTGAAATATTTCTCAAGTGTTTGTTTATGTGAATTGCTTTCTAATGAGGTCATAGCTGTTTTCCCGGACACAGTGGTATTTCCTCCTCTTGMTCTTATTTTTATGCTGCTTTCTACATTATGTCTTGAAGACAGAACAAGCATATAAAAATCAAACATTGCTCAGGATACTTCTAAGTTTCAGCTCTAATGCTTTACAATCATATCATAAGACTCAAGGATGGAGCTGAGTATATGCATCTGTGGAAAGAAGTACTTGAAATGCTTTAGAGTTTTAAAAARACCTGTATGATTGTCAAAAGTAACTCAGATGTGAAGTTTTTAGCTACCAAATGTTAAGAGAATTGGGGTGGTTGAAGGAAATCTGCAAATGCTGATTTTTCATTTAAATGTGTTTCATCATGTGAGATTGATCACTAACCAAAAAAGAAAAGTCACCTAATCATAAAGTGGGCAGTTTCATTTCTATGTGGCCGGGCATTACATATGTAAGTCTTTTCCTTCTGTTCTACARAAACCAGAAACATGGGCAATTGTCCTTTCTTTCCTTTGCTGTTTGCTTCAAATGCAATGAAACATGTTGGGTTTACCTACAGTATTTGATAATGTTGCTGAAATAAATAGCTTCCTGTTTGCAGAACTTTTGGTTTTTCAGATGACTAGATTTACAGTTTCTTAAAAAAACAGACCAGAGAACTAGATACTGCCCTACTTCAGGGGGCTGCTTTCACATATTTTGGGCTAGTGGCATAGGAGGCCAGAATTTTATTGTGAAGTGGGGAAGAGGGAGGAGGCTTAAGTCATWGAGTAATATAATGATGATAGTGTGAAGTCATGATTTCCTAATGACTAATGTGGAGTACTGTAGTTGAACATAAATTTGGGGTGGTTTTTTCTGCAGTTTCTTGAATCACAATKATTTAGCCCTGGGCCATGGAGCCAMACTGTTGTGGGGTTCAGTTGGGCTGGTCGAACTGAGAGGGATTTGCTGGCAATAGTTGGTGGAGGTGGTGTTCATATACGTGGGGTAACTGCAAGGGCCAAATCTCTATGAAGACCTTATAATATATACATAATGTTTAGATCTTCATGATCTGGAACCACATCTCATTAGTGTCAAATAATAATAATACTGAGGAAAAGCTGATGAAATCTGCAAACTGTTTCATTGGTTTAATTAGCATCTTTTTCTCTTTTTTTTTTTTTTAGTGTTAACAAAGTAAATAGGCAGTGTCCTTCCCAAAATATTTCTAAATTTTTAGAGGCTGTTAATTTCCCACAAATTTTGGCTTTAATTATATGTCAAGGCTCTACTGTAGATGGAGTCATACAAGAAATACCAATTATGTTTTTGAAACACTAAAGTTATTGTACAACTATAATTGCAGTAGAGTTTTGTTTTGGTGGGTTTTTTTGTGGGAACTATAGTTGTGAGCTGGCTAATACAATTCTAGGTTGCTTCAGCAAAAAAAGTGTTCAGTTCTGCATAACAGATTGTGCAGTCACAAAATGTTGGTTGAGTTTTTTTCTTTAACTGTTGACTGGACAGCTTTGTTATTACCCCAGCAATTTATCCACCTGAGTAACAAGTCCTAYGTCAGAAACTGTCTTCTTAAAACAGAAAAATGTATTGTTGTATGTGCTGAAATTTGAAGTACCTTCAGGCTCATCCAGAAYGAAAAATATTTAACACCCACAAATACCAGTACTGTAACCTTCCTCCAACATTTCAATCCTTTCAATTGAGACTTAATTCTAGACAGTTGCTCTGAAGGTAATTTTGAAAACAACATTTTATTCTTTTCCATTGTGAAACAGACAATAAAATATACCATGTTATTAAAATGAAATTGTATTTGAGTTTAAAATACGAAAGAAAAATCAACTGTCTCTTTTATACCTGTTTTTGTCAGTAGCAACAAAAGCTTAACTATTTCCTGTTTAACAACATCGGTGAAATACTTTTTCTTCTCTTCTTTCAGAAGTGAAGCCAACTTGCATATTTAACAGCATGGAGTACTACGATGGAGACATGTTTCGGATGGATGCYTGTCGATTCTGTCGCTGCCAAGGGGGAGTCTCCATTTGTTTCTCTGCCCAGTGTGGTGAGCTGCACTGTGACAGGTACTACGTGCCGGAAGGAGAGTGCTGCCCAGTGTGTGAAGGTACAGTCTCTTTGTAATCCTGTCTGCTTTTCATTCTGCTGGGTTTTTTTTTATTTGCCTGTTCGATGGAAATGAGCAAACAAAGGCTTTTGTTCTTCTGAAGTTGACTGATTCCTCTGAAATGCAGTTTATTCCTACATTTTTGCTGTGTCTGAGTGTGCTGTCATGTTCTTTGCAGTTCTTCTCTGACCTTGACACTACTTCTTGGACATGATCAAATGTGCAGCGTTTTTTGGGGGTGCCTTCTCAACAAAGGACATACAAAGGTGTTTCTCATTTCTGCACAGACGTTTAGACAGGCATCTCCAGGGCTTCAGCTGTGGCCCTGAGATAAATTTCAATTACTTTGCAACCAGTTTCTTGTTCTGTTCAGCAACAGCAATGCACACACCTTCTTTCCTCTACAATTAAAGCAAAGCAATGGGGCAGCAATCCAATGTCAGTGTTTTTCTCTTCCGCCTTTGCCCTACTGACAGCCTTGCTAGGCTGCAGTCCTCCTAACAAGGGCTCTGTGGGGAATTTCACACCGACCTTCTCGCTTATACTGGAAAGTATTGGAGGCATCTTCTGCCAGGATACAACCAGAATTCCAGCAGAGGAAGATAGGGGTGGTGCTCTGCACTTGGATCTTGCCTCCGTGTAGGGRTCAGGTTATGGCCACCAGGTAGTCAAAAAGCCTGCGAAGCACTTCTAGTCCCTTTGTTTAAATATGAACATAGAAATACTTTTTCAATAAGTGAAATCACCTGGAAATCTGAAACCTCCTCCTCGGAGTAGAGGAATCTAGTTATTAATGTGAATTTCACTTTGCTGACTCCTTAATATCASTATTCCTGTAGTTCCCTGCAGGAGCAAATAAGCCAGAAGATCCATTATAGTCATGTTTTATTCCAAGCAGAGAACTAGAAAGTAAGGTACCTCATAAAATTAAGTCTTAAAGAGGCAGCTGTAAGAGCTGGWGCTTTTCACTCAGCACAGGATCTGGTGAAAAATGCTATTTTGGTGGCTTGTTTTGTTGCAAGCTACTGACATCTTAATCCAAAATTTGGATAATGACATATCAGGCAGGTAAGTTAGGAAGCCATTTTTTAAAGAGTATTTGTCATTTTTTTTAATGTTTTGGTGTATATTTTAGTGTAGTTTTATATCAGGTTTTGGTCTCTACATGGTGTTTACATGTAGAGAAATGCAAATGCTGTAGGCTTAAGTAACTAACTTAATTTTTGAGCCTGGCAGTAGTCTTTTTTTTAGCCATCATGATAARTTGTATAAATCCACATAATGTTTATATCTTTTTAACTATTAATATTAGTGCTACTTACTGCATATCTGGAGTACTATTATTTCTGAAGAGTAAAAGCTGCTTTTATTTCATGTAATGAGCTAKCATAAGCAGACTTGCATGAAACATGAGGAGAAATCTCACAGAAAATATGCTCCCTAAAATTCTGTTGTGTAAATACYCAGATCTTTATTTGATTGTTAGCAGGTAAGTGGGACTTGTGGCYTTCAAACGGAAAAAAGTTCAACTGAAATGAAATTGAAAACACCCTGTTCAAAAAGCTAGATTATCTCCAAAATCGTGATGAGGTATAGCTTRAGGCACTCTTCCTGTTCCAGTAACAAATATGCCCGAGGTCTCATCTTTGCTCACAATGTAAAACAGCGATGCAGAGCTGACACGAGTTACTCCAATGGCTCATTTAGATTTTTTCAATTTCCTTCAGAAAGCCGGTATTTCTGGCTATATATCAATAGATCCAAGATCCATTTTGTTCTGAAGAACAGAATAAAAAAATTAAAAGGTTAAGCCTTGTTCTCTTGGACTTGCTCTCATTTCAGACCCCCTTTATCCAGTCAATAACCCTGCTGGCTGCTATGCCAATGGCCAGATCCAAGCTCACGGAGACCGCTGGCGAGAGGACGACTGCACRTTCTGCCAGTGCATCAATGGCGATCCGCACTGCGTGGCCACCGCCTGCGGCCAGAGCTGCCTCAACCCTGTCAAGGTGCCTGGGGAGTGCTGCCCCGTCTGTGAAGGTAACACTGCTATTTCCCCTCACTTGGCTTTGGTCTCTCGTGCCTGCTGCTTACCTGGCAATTCTCCGTTTGCTTTAAAATTTTGGAGTATTGAAGGAGCTGGTACAGCATTGGCTGGTGGCTGAAYAAATTGCTGAGGGCAGAAAACATCAGAGTGGTTTAACTACACCAGGGTGTTGGCAATCCCTGGTGCTCCTTTGGCACAAAAGGAGGTGGTTAAGATCAGCATTATTTACTCATTTTCCTTTTAGCTTTTCTTAATCCTTAATAAATATAGGAGAAGTTAGACAGTCAAAATGTTTATCACTTGGTATTACTGTTAATTAAATTATTCCTGATTTCTTTTTCATCTGTGTCATTTAGCTGCAAGTAAGAATCTTTTTGTACAACATAGTTGTGCAAAAAATACCAAAATATATTATCAAACATAGTTTAATATTGGAAATAGTTATTTCAGTGGAACTTTTAAAAAGTGATGTTATCTGGGAAATAGATTCATTTTTCAAGTTTAAAATTATTTTTTCATTTGTTTATGGAAATAGATGTATATGGTATAACTGACTGAGATTTAACTTAACTGTAAGGTAAAATGCTTGACCATCCTGGCAACAGAAATGTGAAAACTTGTAAAGTGAGACATTAAAAAATACTTTTGTGTATGTAAATGTACATTTAGAGCTGCATTTTATGGAGTAGTTGTTCATCAAGAAAAACACCGGATAAATTTAGAAATGGTTCCYGTAAACCTAGAGCCATCTTCACAGTACACTAACATCTGTGGGCACTCAGTGAGCTGCCACTTTTCTTGTCCCACCTCTGATTTTAGAAAAATAATTTTTGTAGATCTGCATGTGTCTCAGGGCCCTTCTTGGTTTGCAGTATCCATCCAACTAAGCTCACTGGGATACTTACCTTTTAGGATAAATCTGAGGAGCATAAGGATTTCTTACATGTGCTCTTTAATTCCAGAATTCACATCACAGTGTAGGAAGGTGTGTGATACAATGTGTAAAAGCTGCCRGTGAACTGTACAGGATTGCACTACTTGCACTGAATTAATGTGACTATGAGGAAGCAGGTTAACTGCTATTAATCCCAGTACTCACCTCACCATGGATGTCACAGAGCATGTGCTGTCACCCCTCATTATTTGGGCGTCTGTGAGCAAGCTTGGGAAGGCACTACAGAGAGAGAGAGAGAGGCTGGTTGAAGTAGTTTCAACATGTCAATACACTGAGAGGATTCTGTTCCTCTAATGAGGGAAATGTCTTTATTTTCCTCTTCCAGACTGGAGAAAATGGATGAGAGATAATTGAATTAAATGCATATATAAATATATATATATACACATATATATATATATATATATATATATACACATATAGGGCTGAGTTAAATATGAAAAACCGTGGGATGCAAATGCAGGGTCGAGCGTAGGGTTCCATCCTTCTTTACTAAAGGTTTCAGCACAAACGAGCTATTGCTTCATTAACACACCACACTAAAACCTCTGCAGTGCTCTCAGGACAGGAGGCAGATCCTCTGGGCTGGATTAGGTAACTCTATGCAATGATGTTTTTACTTTTAGAAGGACATGTAGCTAGCAACTGTTTAACTCCATAAAAGTTGTCTTGTAGTTTTTTGGGAGGGTGGTATGGAGTGCAATCATGATACAAATAATAGCTGATACAAATAGGTGAAGACTGACACAACTGAATCATGAAATCAATATTTAAATTAGGTCCTTGTGCCATCTAAATTATATTTTGTTAAAAAATAATCTCATTTGTTTACTGTGTTAGCTGTTGTATGATGCATGCTTAATTGTAGTCATCTGGTTTTGAGTGCATCATCTGGAAGACAGTGTTATGAAATGGTATTTTGAGGAACTTCCTGAATTTTAAGCTTAGAAGCATCTCATTTGCTATGGTGTTTCTTTGTTAACAAATACTGCCAAATAAACAACCAATGGGTTATGAAATTATGTAAGTGGTGGAACCAACAATTAGTGGAAGTGCTTCTAGTTCATGCTAGGAGGAGATTTCAGCGTATTTGGGTACCAGATRTCACTTGAATCCTTTTCTCCTTCTTCATTTCCCTGTCCCATAGCAAACAARTATAACCAAAACAGATTATTATGCTCCATTATTGCAAATTATTTAATTCCAGGAATCCAAATTTGGGATTATTTCAAGGATCAAAAACCTGGACTGTTAAACAGCAGCCATTTAAGATACTAGGATCCAAAATATAAAAAATTGAGTTTGCAAGAAGAAGCTTTGGATGACTTAATAAGAAATTATTCAGCATTTGAGACTTAACAATTTATCTTGTAATAATAATAAATGAAAAAATCCCTGAAAAATGAACCATCAAGGGTTCCAGCAAATCTCTTGAAGTTATACTTTGGGGTATTATATGATTTCAAGGCTGTTATGCCTTGTGATTAGCAGGCCGAATAAAAATATTTAGATATGTGAGAGCAAGGTGTTCCCTGATTGGAAGTTTGAGATCTGTGTCTTTCTGAATCTGTTAACATTTTTCTTTGAAAGCACACATTAATAAAATCCCAGAACATTAGGAAAAAATAACAATGTTAGATGTTGGCTATCTGCATTTAATGAATGTGTATTGAAAATTGTATTGTTGAATGTGTATTTAAAAATTATTTTTTTAAAAAGGTGGTGTTTGAGATGATGGCAGCAGGGACTTGTGTGTTAGCCATAGACTTCTGGCCTGCCTCCAAGGTCAGATAGCCTCATGTGTCTTAAGCCTTAAATCTGAGATTAGTGGTGTTTCTCCTTGGAGTTTAATGCGTGGGGTAGGAAACGARTACAGTCTGCTTTCATTACAATGCAGCTGTTGCTTGCTAACCCAGTAGGCAAAGGGGCTTCTCCAGATTTCTGTTCTGTTTTTTTTCCTTGTTGKAAGGCTGGACCGGAGAAGGAAATATTCTCTGGGAAGACAGTTACAAACTTTTACTTCCTTCATGCATCGTAACTGACTTTCCCTAATTTTAGTTATAACATTTTAAAGACAGCCTGGTCCCATCTAAAATGCTGTTTTATTTCTGCCATCATCCAGCCAGCTGACATCTCTGTTCTCTTAATGAGGTAAGCTGCATGGATCAATGCTCCTTTCCCTTTTAAATCAGCTTCTCACTCTTTTCCTCGAGCATTGTTTCTGTTGATGAAGTTCTGCTGCTGATGCTCATTGTGTTGTCTGTGACCTGGAGGGGTGGTGGGGACAGGCAGGAATAAGGTCCTGGCTGGGAAATTGGCTGACAAATCAACCCCTTGATTTTAATGATTCTAAAGCAAAAGATGTGCCGTACATTTAATGGAGCTACAAGCTATGAAGTAAATTCCAGGCATATTTTTTCCTAAAGAGGAATTAAAATGCATCATTGTCAGCCATATGATGCTTTCCTGCATGCCACCCCATTGCACTTGCATATCCATAGCTGAACCTGGATTTTGCAGTGCACTCTATGAGCAGRAGCGTTGACTGTCCTGTGATCTCCAGTTTGTTTTCTCTGTCCTTCTGCTTCTCTCATTTCCTGCTGTTCAGGAAAGAGAAGCAAAATTCTTATCTAGTGTGGGCAAAGGCCTGGCATCCGTGATGTTATATAATGTCATGCTTTCAACTCTGCAAGTTATTAAAGGGAGAAAGCAGTGTAATTTTGTGATATGCTCAATAAACAGACAAAAAGAATGTAAACTTTACAGCTCATTTTGAAATAGTGGGTTACTAGTAATAGTAAGAATAAGAATACCTCATTTTGCACTTTCTTTTATGACTTCCAGTTTTCACTCATGTCTCAACATAAAGTATATACCACATACTTTTTGCAGATTAGTTAAAAATTACTTTTTTTCAAAAGTTGTATTATATAATTGCATTGTGAATATATTTTGCTTTTTTGCTCTTACTGGTATACTACATTTCTTAATTAAGCTGTAGCTCTCACTTTTTGCATTAACTTTTTCACTGTTTTGTGGAGACTCATGCAGAATGTAGGAAATAATTATTCGTATTTTGGAATCTTAACTCTTCATCAGATCTAAAGCAGGAAGAAGATTGATACCTGCTGAAAACCCCCTAATATCTTAGTCAATTTAGTTACTGGTGGACCAATTCATGTCTATATTTCTACTTAGAAGTATTAAATAGAAAACAATAAAGAAGACATTTTACATGCTTACCACTATTTCTAAGCATGCGCTTATTTCTCATTGGACTTCTATTTACATTTGAAAGAGAACCCACATGCCAGCAGCCAGCTTTAATTCTGTGAGCTTACTTTAAGCATGTCAGATATAAGCTCTTTAATATGTAAACCAAAACATTTCGTCAAAGATATTTCTATCCTGTATTTTGGGTTGAGTGTTGAGGGATTCAGGGATTTGTGTGGCATCAAAGTGATGAGAAAATTCTAATCAAACCTGCCTGTGGATCTGGCCCAGCTGTGGCTCATCCAGAGTAAAAGGTTATTAGTATCAGTCACTTCTGGCCCTTAACCTCTGTCTTTGAGCTAAATGCTGCTGTACCTGCAGTTCTGCCACTTCAGTTATTTCTTGGCTGTTTTATAATCAGTTTCAGTGAAGGACATACTAAGTCTAGGTAAGTTTATGTTCCAGCAGCTTCATAAGGATAAAATTTTTCTTGGATTGCACTTGCAAAAAATATTGCTCTCAGAGGTCACATATAACATATTAGAAATTCTGTTGTCTCGTCCTGCTTGAGAAGAGGGGGTCGGGGAGRATTCTTTTAATAGATTTCTTGGACAAAAAATAAAGCGCAAACGCTATTGATAAAGAAGGGTAAGTGTTCCTACCACTTCCTACCAAGGGGGGATAGAAAAGGGAAGGAACAAAGAGGGAAAAAGAGAAACGGAGAGAGACAGAACAGCAGACAGATTGTTACTGCTGTACCCCAGGTACCCGGGAATGTCAGCTCGGCAGAAGGAGCGTGTGCTGCGAACCGCGAGGAGCCTGCGC